AGTCTTTCAGAAAGGGGTAATAAAATAAAGCCTTTGAATAATAATATTTCAAAACCATTCTTGACTCAACCGTTCAGAGGAGTCAAGAAAGACTTCATAGGGGAGGTGACATTTAAGCTGGCACTTGAAAGCATTTACTAGGTAGAAAATGGATCAGGGCATTCCAAGCAGAGGGAACAGGTTGTGCGGTGGAAAGGAAACCATTCTGGCTTGGAGTATCTGAGGGAGAATAAGAAACTGGCTGTTGCCACAGACTAGCATGCCTGTCAGGGATACACTAAAGTACTAGTGTAGGACCACACATGTTGTATTTTGCATTTGTTAGCAAGCAGGGAGTGGAATATACCTCTCGCTGAAGAAAACTTTTAATTCATCTGATCTAATGCTCTAGTGGCAGTTAAACTGATTTCAAAGAGAAAAAAAAACTTCAAATAATTTTGATATAAAGTATCCACACATGTTGTATTTTGCATTTGTTAGCAAGCAGGGAGTGGAATATACCTCTCGCTGAAGAAAACTTTTAATTCATCTGATCTAATGCTCTAGTGGCAGTTAAACTGATTTCAAAGAGAAAAAAAACTTCAAATAATTTTGCTATATAAAGTACAATAGACTCCCTTTATCCAAGATTTCACTTTCTGTGTTTCAGTTATCCTCAGTTAATGGAGGTCCAAAAGTATTAAACAAAAAATTCCAGAAGTAAACAATTCGTAAGTTTAAAATTGCATGCCATTCTGAGTAGTGTGATGAAATCTCTTTTATTATAGTATACTGTGTGATTATAATTATTCTATTTTATTATTACTGTTAATCTCTTACTATGGACAATCTAAAAATTAAATTTTATCATGGGTATGGATGTGTAGGGATAAATGTAGTATATATAGGTTTTGGTACTAAGTTTTTGGGCACCTGCTCTGGGGTCTTAGAACACATCTCCTGTGGATAAGATGAGTCTGCTGTACTATCAGTAAGTGAGTGTCTAGAAACCAAATACTAGTATTTATTGGCAACTATGGTTAAAACACATATATTTGAAATATGTCTACAGTAATTTTCTTTGCAAAAAGCAAATGATCAAGTAGGCTGCTAAATACATACATACATACATACATACATACATACATACATACATGAAAGATACAAGGCATTGGGTTAAAAACCAAATACTTTAGGAGTCTGGGCAAAGACATGATTTTTAAAGAAAAGGTGTTTCCCAAAGTAAGTTAGCAGGAGAAGATAAATTTGTGCATAATATGCTTGTATCATTTAACCCTAACACACTTTGTGAAGTGGGGATTATTATCACTATTTCATACACAAGAAAAATCAAGAATCAAATAAAGATTTTTGGGGGCTGGGGATTTAGCTCAGTGGCACTGTACCTGCCTCACAAGTCCAAGGGCCCGAGTTCAACCCCTGGTACAAAAAGGAAAAAAAAAGACGTTTCTTGTAAAATTAGCTGTCTAAGTTGGAGTCATATTTTTCAGGCTCTGAAACTTGTTTCCTGTGTAATATATGAAGATATAATACATGTTACCTGCCTCACAGGGTTATGAGGATTAAAATAAATAATAAATAGAAATTGACATAATTCCTGACCTTTATCAAATTGTAAGTTGATTTTTTTCAGATATTCACATATTTTTCAAAACTGGGTCTTCATTAAAGAGGCTTTCCGAAGACTGTGGAGAAAGTCTTTTCCTAGCACATCTGAAAGTACAGTCGCCTCTTGGTGTCGATGGGGGATTTTTTCCAGGACCAGTGTCAATATGAAATGGCATAGTATTTGCATATAACCTAAACATATCCTCACATATACTTTCTGGTTCCGGGAATTGAACTTTGGACCTTGTGCTTGTGAGGCAGGCGGTAGCACCACTGAACTAAATCCCTTCCTCCCTCACATATACTTTTAAGTAGCACTAGATCACTCATAATGCATAATATAAATCATACTGTATTGTTTAGGGAACATGGCAGGAAAAAAGCCTGTGCACATTCAGTACAAAACAATTTTTCCCAAATATGTTTGACTCATGGTTGGTTCATTATTTGTGGATATAGAGGGCCAACTGTATATTGCTTCAAATAATTTATTTTTGAATAATTAAAAATGTTACTGCCACATGAATCTCTTTTTAGTATGGAAATAGATATACCCTTTGGCCATCATATCAAATCTGTGTATAGAATATCCTAGAGATATGAATTTTATTTCTTAAAGGGCCTTCAGTTTTTCTCTTAGCATTTTTAATGATTTGTCTGAAAATGTATCTCTCTCTTCTGTATTTTTAATCAAAATTTACCAAACAATGATGTTACTTGCCAGGCACTATCCTAAAGGTTAGGTAGATATTATCATCTTCATTTTCCAAAATAAAAAGCCAAGGCACAGAGAGAGTAAATGACTTGCCTAATATCACATAGCTAAATAGCAACTGGGTAGGACTTGAATTGTAGTAATTTGGCTCTAGAACTCAAAACATTGAAGGTAATGTGCTATCTTCCTATATGAATCAGAGACACCATTGTATGTGTATTTTTATTTGATATCTGCAGAAGCACCATGCTTTTGTGTAGGTTTGTGTCCCAATAGTACTGTGATGTCCCCATCTACTATATTTTTTAACCGACTGCTTACTATATTTTTCTGTTAGTAAAGTTATTTCCCATGTACTTACCTCTACAGATTGCCTTCTTTCCTCTAATTAATATGCTTTAAAGTCTTAAGGGTCAGAAACCAAATCACCCTACATGTTAGAACTATGTGCAAACCAGGAGTTATGAGGCCTTGAGAGAAGACCCAAGCCTCTAGTGAATGGGGTTTATGATACTTGTGAAAGGGATCTTTGTGTTTTGGAATGTTTTCTGTTCTCAGCTGTGATCCAGATATTCGGATGACTGAAAAAGTGGCTTTGCAAAAAACAAGGTGTTGGAAGGGAGGGGGAAGGAACTAAGGGAAAAGAAAAAATATGAGAAAATGAAAAAAGGGAAACAAAGTCTTTGTAAATAAGGAAGGATGAAGGGAGTGAAGGGAAGGCAAGGGAATGGGGAAAAGTGAGAACCAAGATCTGTCATGTAAAGGTACAAGATCCCAGTGATAAATTTAACTGTACTGTATAAGTAAAAAGCACTAATAAACTCAATGAAGAAAAAAAAACACCAAAAACACAAAACAAACAAAAAGGTGTTACCAAATATAAATTCAAGGCATTTCTACTCTTTCGCCTGTCCAGAGTTTTAGTCATCATCATAATTAGAAGGTTGGCCTAGTTCCTCAAGATTCTGGGTAGCCACCTGATGCACAAAAGTAGAGAGACATGGCTACAACTTGTATAAAAATAGCCCTTCCAGATGGTTGAGGGGCAAAGTTACAACTCAGCAGCTTGATATAGCTGAGCACTCACATTTTGGAGTAGGAGAGCTAGGAGAGAAGTAGCCAGAGAAACTGCGCTGGAATCCAGTCATAAGTGGAACAGTATATGCCAGGAGTGATTGCTTAATGTGGCAGATTAGCTGTTAAGATTTCCTGTTACTTCATCTCCATCTCTTCCCCATCTCCATTGATTCAACCTTCCTCTGGCCCCACGGCAACACCCCCATCCCCCCACCCCCTTCTTTATTTAAAGTAGTATAGAGTTTTACAAAGTTCAGGCATTTTTAAATTGTCCACCAAACCATAAATACTAGAAGAGCTTGGAAAGTACCTCAGTGCAGAGACAAGCAAATTGGAACTCAGAAATGTGAAGTGACCACTTAGGGTGTTAGTGGGACTCACACACAGCTTCTCCCACAGGGCTCCACTGTGAGAAGGTGTGTGCGCGTGTACAGGTTACAGTTCCACCAGCCCTGCCTTGACTCACCTCAAACTCAAAATGAAGCCTCTACTTAAAAAAAAAAAAAAAAAAGCATGGAATATTGCAAAAGTCATGATAGTGTTTCCATTCCTCAAAACAAATATTAAAGCTCTGAGAGATGAGCCATTGGCATGAAACAGCTTGCTCATAAATGAAACTACTTATTGGTTAAATGCTTATATGGATTAAAATGCACAGTTCTCTCATTTTTCCACCCGCTAGTTGACCTATATTTCCATTGGATATTCTGGAATTCTGGAAGAAAACTGAAGTCTCTAGTAAATCCACTGTTTTAAATCTCTCAATAGCTAAATAATTGAATGTTGATTTTTAAAAAGTTAATTAGGAATGGGTTAGTGGCAGTCACAATAGATGCTGTCATTTTCAGATCACTAAATGAGCTAGTTGAGAAACACTGTTTATTAGCACAAAGTCAAGGCATTGCTGTTCCCTGGTGGTAGTACAGCCTCATTGCAGGCAGGCTACTTAGGTAGAAAGAGTTTCTACCATCCTTCCAAATTTGGTTCTGTAAGATCCAATTCTTTAAAAATACTCCCATTAATCTTGCATATTCTTGCATAAAAGATTTACAGGTACTGAAGCACAAACAACAAGCTAATCACCAACCAACTTTTTGCAACATAGTAGGGTTTGTTCTACCCAAGTGAATATTACAATATTGTTGGAAAGTAGTATATTCCTTTCGAGAGGAAGCTCCTTTCCCTCTTATGAAACTGCACGGAGCATAGGCATTTTTATGTCAGGTACTGTTCTCTGCCCTGGGAGAAGATAAAGAGGTTTCAAGCCTGGTGTCCACGCCCTGGTGTCCACACCTTGGTGTCCACACCCTGTCAGAGCTCCCTGCTCTCCCACTATACTGCTGTGTAGTAAGCTGGTGGAAAGCGGTCACCACAGGAGGAATGGGGTGAGGAGTGAGAATAGGGACAAGCACTTTTTGACTGCCTACCAAATATTTGGGTCTGTGCTACCTTGTTGAAGCTGGCAGGAACACTCCTGTTAAATAAATAAGGGATTTCTACTCTAAGTACTGTACATTTCCTTTTTCTAAAGCATAAAGATCCAAGGGGACTGACAGGTTCACTCTTCGCTATTGCCAAATTAAGAATCCAAGCAAGAGCATGATTTTCAATGCCTTTATTAAGAAATATCAAAAGTTGATTACAGACCCATACACAATTTAACAAAGTTCAAGTGAAGGGGAATGCAGGGAGGCCATCAATATGCACATTTGAACACTAGGGTAGCTTGCCAAAGGGGTGGCCCTACGACTCCTGTCACTTTGCTTTCCACTGGTCCACAGCAATGCTTTTGCCCCTTTTCCACTACACCAGAGTACAAAGCCTTAAATTACTCACAAGAGTATTCATATATGACAAATCATTTTAATATATTTGTCCTTTTGTCATTCTTATTCCCTGAAGAGCTGAGCTGTTCATAGGAAGGACAGCATTTAAGTCCTCTTCCCTGCAGCTCGTATCCCATTTTCACAAAGTCCACTCTGAAAGCTGACCAACACTGCATGGTAGACATCACCACACCACAAATGGGAGGACCCAAACACATCGGTATTTTTAAAGATTTAACGATGAACAACAAAAAAGCGGGGGATTACTCATCTTGGAAACAAACCATCACAGTCACTCAGTGGAACCCTCAAGTACAGGACAAGCCTGTCAGTTCCCCTGAGCTCCAGTCACGAGTGGTCAACAGGATGACCGAGCACGATTGGGTGCAGGAACACCAGCACGGAAAACAGGAAAGAGCATTTTGGGGGGCAGTACTTCACGATCTTTTACATCAGGGGTACTGTATCGGGGGGAATTACTTTGGAAATAATCGGGGTTCACTGATTCCAGATGGGAAGCAGCCATGGTGTAGTGTGCCTTGGTTAAGGCTTGTGCTGGTTTATCTAAAAGTAGGTTTCTGGAAAGCCTGTCCAGCAACATCAGAAAGAGCCATCTTCAGAGGAAGGATTCCTTGTTCACCCACATGAGACTGCGGGTCTCGTTGGGCTTGCATTCATACTCAATGACAGAGAAGGGGCTTCCCCACTGGCAGTGGTCTCGCTTGTGGTAATTGTAGAATTTGACTTGCCACACCGTCTCGAAGGTCCCAATGTCCGTGAACTGAGGGAAAAGAAAGATGCTCCATGAAAAGCTCAGTGGATGGGAGTGGAAAGTCAGTGACAGGGCGTTTGATAAGCATGCATATCCAGGCCAGACTCTCTAGGTCTGCAAAGCTTAGCCCTTTCCTTTCATGACCCAAGTTCCTTTACTCCTGGAGATATTTTCCTGAAAAGCTGTCTGCATGTGCTGTCCTATTGTTTTTTAATGAAAACAACTCCCAAATTTATTTGTTTTCCAACTTTAATTTTCTGGAAATCATTCTAAGAATCTCAGTTTTAGACTTGACTCCAAAATGTCCCTAACCTAAAAAGGGCACTGGGAAGAGAAGAGAGAGAATGATGCTTACTGCTATCCTTCGATTTCTCCTTCAGAAGACAGTGGTACAAAATAACACCTGTATAACACATCTAAACATAAGATACAGTGATCCTCCTACCATTCCAAGATATTTGACTTGAGGGGACAATCACAAGTACTTTATTGGAGGGATGGGATTGTTAAAGACCCCATTTGATGGAAAATTGAGTTCAGGTTTATATATATTTCTTTGCCCTATATCATATTTGTGTATCTAGTATGCACCCTGCACATATAAAATTTTATATAAGGAATGGTTCTTGCTCCTGAGAAGTTTGTATTCTGCTTCTAGAAGGCAGCATAGGCAAATCACTGCCCAGAATTCTCCTGAGGCACAAGGATACATTTCTCTTGTAGCTGAAAAGAGGGCACAGAATACCCTAGAGGCCACTGGGAAGATGTTCAAGTGGCCTGTGGGGTTGCCTGACCCTGCTACTACCTTCTGGAGCTATTTAGGGGATCTGGCATTAAACAGCATGATGACTGTTGTTATTTTCTCCTATGACCCTCCTGTCATGGGAAGGGACAGGGACTGACTTGGCAGGATTCTTAGACTTGTGTGGAGCCAGGAGACATGGAGAGAAGAAGGGCAGTGAGCAACAGGAGCCTTGTGCTTTGCAAATGATACAGGAGGAGGGGGATCAGGTGATTCCCAGATAGCTTTCCAAGATGCTCTCAAAATTATATCCTACACTATTGCCTCATCCTGCTAATTTGGTCCCAAAACAAGATCTGGGATTTCCTTTGGAAAATTTGCTTGATGTGAAATAGTAGTACCCAGAGTCCACCAACCTCCAGGTATGAAACAAAGTATATCTTTTCAGAGAGTCGTGGCTTAAAGACCTATACATACAAACATAGCAGCCTTTTTTCATAATATCCCCAGATTGGAATTAACTCAAATGTTTATTTATTTGGCAATAGGCAAGTTTTAGTATATTTATAAAACAGTATTTTACTTGACAATAAAAAAGACATGCCAGCTCAGGCAATAAGGATGGGTCTCAAAGGCATACTGAGCAAGAATTTACACTCCAGAGAAGATATTGTGTATGATTCCATGTATGTGAATTTCTGTATAATTATAGAGTACAATCCAGACTGACTGGAAACACGCAGGGCTACCTAGGGCCTGGGGTGGAAGGGATGATGCAAATATTCAGGAGGAACTTTTTGAGGATTATGGGAGCATTCAGTATCAGGTGGTGGTTACATGGATGCATATTGGTTGAAAATCACTGAATTGTATAATTTAAATGCATACATTTATTACATGTAAACTATACAACAAAACTGAGTAAGAAAAACAGAAATATCCAGTTTGGGATACAGCTCTTCTAAACTCCACTATTGGGAACTGAACTGTACAGCCTTTGAAAGGGTAATTTCCATCCAGTTAAAGTGAGTAAATGAGGGTCCAGAAATTCCATCCTTTGTAAACTATTTTAAGAACAGTCGGGCATGGTGGCACATGCCTGTAATCTCAGCACTCGTGAGGCTGAGGCAGGAGGATCACTGTGAGTTCCAGACCAGCCTGAGCTACATAGAGAGTTCCAGGTCAGTCTCAACTACAGAGTAAGACCCTGTCTCAAAAAACCAGAAAACAAACAAACAAACAAACAAACAAAAAAAACAAAAAAAACCCCAAAAACAAAAAATTAAGAACATCATAAAGTAACATGAAGTATCATCTTTTAAAAGGACATTATAAAGTGTAGCATAAAGAAAAATTGAACTCTGAATATTTATCTTTAAGCATTAATTATGGCATGTTAACATAATGAATACTATGTAACGAAATAAAGATTTTTTTCCACTATTTTATATTGTCACATGAATTAAGCAGAGAACCATCAAGAATGTGCAGTACTATTCCATGCTAAATAATGTCTGTTAATGTTGGAAACTGGTGGAATATTTTATTTTCTTCTATATGCTATCTGTATTTTCAAAATTTAATGATGAATTTTTACATCAGGAATGAATTAGGCCAAAATTATATTTACAAGTTTTACAAAGTAGTTGCTATACTTAACATAAAAGATTATAATAATTAATTAGTAAGAAATATTAAGAATATTCAGAGCCTGGAACACAGATCACTAAAAAATGGCTAGCATCCGAAAAATATTCAAATGTAATTAGTAATTAAAGAAATACAAACTATTACAGAGATACTATTCAATCACAAACTTAGTAAAAGTTTTTAAATTTCTTGCGAGGAGCAATCTAAGCATCCAACATTTAAAAATTATTTTGAAGGCCAGGGATTTAGCTCAGTGTTTCCACCTCCTGCCTCGCAAGAGCAAGGTTCTGAGTTCAATCCCTGATACCAATAAATAACTAAATAAATAAACAAATAAAAGAAATAAAAGGTAGGAATTGTTGATGTGAGAAAATGGCTAGAACAATTAAACAGGAAAGAGACTAAAACAATTCATATATGGATATGATTAGCATACTGCATATGGTGAATGTTTAAACTTTTAAAAATTTATTACCATAAAAGATCCATTGTCATTAATCTCCCTCTAAATATCTCGCCCCTTCAAACATACTCAACCTATCGTTATTGCCACTTTCTGAAGTAGTTCTGAAAGTCCTCTTTGTGAGTGTCTTTATAAGGTGTGGTTAAAAAAAAATAGTGAATGTTGCCACTGAGTACTAGCCAAAAAAAGGAAGACTCATAAAAACATTTACTATGTATTCTCATCCACTTTATTCACCAGATTTGGCACTGTGTGACTTCTGGCTTTTCTGAAAGTCCAAATGACCATCAAACATAAATGTTTTGAATCAATTTAGGATATTAAGGCAGCCATGACAGCTATAGTAATAAAATTATATTTTTGTTCACAACAATGTAGTGGTAGTAGGAATAAATGAAAACTCATTTTACAATTCACCGAGACTTTTAAAGGTTTGATATTATCTTTAACCGGCACAAGAAACTGCAAAATTTAAGTGCAATCAAATTTTAAAACTCAATTAAAATTTCAATTAAAAAAATTTTTTTTGTACAGGGAATTGATCTGGGGACCTGGTGCTTGTGAGGTAAAAGGTGGCACCACTGAGCTAAATCCCCGGTTCTAAAGAGTATTTTTTTTTAATAAAACATATTTTTCAAATGCCAGGTAATCTTTTGAGAGAACAGCAACCTGAGAACGTACTAGCAACAACAGTGAGATCTTCTTTGAAATAAATACAAGTTAGCCATTAAAAAAACCTGAGATGATTATGACCACAGGCAAGAAAAAATCTTAAAGTTTTTTTATGTATTAAAAAAGTTAAAACTATGAAAGTCTCAATCTAACAATTCTCAGCAGCACAAAAGACCAAAATAGAACCAATTCATATCTAAAGATATGAGATTAGGTGCCTGTATCTCAGTTTTGGTTTCTCTTTAGTTTCATGGTTACGTGGAACTTAACTGCTCTTCACTGTGTATGTATTTTTCCTCTCTCCCGAACCTTAATTGTTTACATACACACATACACACCCTCACCTTCTTTCTGTTCTTTCTTTTGGAATTCTACCTCCCAGGTGTCTTATACTTAGAGCTCAAAGTTTCTTCTCATCTGGCTGAGAACAGATGGGGTTCCAAAAGCTGATATTCTAGATAAGCACCTTTATAGTCTATTTCTTACCAGCCCCTTCCAAGGAAAGTTTACCCAGGCAGGCTCTGGGTGATGCGATTTACACTTGAGTAGAATTCTGTGCATTTGTACAGGCAATCTACATGATACATTCACCCACATCATTCCACTTTGATCTTGTGCCTGTGTTTGTTTCCGTTTTATGGATGAAAAAACTAAAATTTACAGAGGTTAAAGAATAGCCAGCTCATTCATTATAGGACCAGAACAATTCCTAATTCCTAGCTAGAAACCATTATCGTCGTACCAAACCGTTTATATAAGCAAAAAGGCCAAGAGTCAGTGAATACTTCTTCTTTTTTCTTCCTGAGAATTTACATGAATTATCACATATAGAATTCTTTTAGGATTCCTATGGATCGAATACTTGTTTTCTCCCTCTCCTCACAACTCACAGGTTGAAGCCTAAATTTCCAGTGTGACAGTATTTAGAGGTGGGGCCTTTGGGAAGTAATCAAATGAATGAGGGTGGAGCCCTCATAAGGGATTAGTG